CAAGAATAGATTCCAGTTTGGGGTCTCCTGGTGGTGGTGGTGGTAGTTACCATCCCGCCTGTGCTGACTCGTGGCAGCCCCAGGTGTGGAGTAGAATTGCACCATAGGGCTTCCCAGGCTGTGGCAGGCCTAGCTGCCAAGGTGCGCCTGGGTGGGCTCCAACTGACAGCCTCTTGGCTAGTAGTCTAGTACTTAGCCTTTAGCGCCATTCAAGGACTCTCTGGATGAGGGCCCTTCTATTTAGGTAACCATGCTCACCGGGTCACTGCAGTGTAGACCCGGCTTCTTTTGAAGCATACATTCTTACATTCTTTCACTAACCTACTCTAAAAAAATGGCTTCTGCTGCCTGTTTAGCAGATGTGTGCCAAGGGCTGAGGCTGTTTCTCAATCCTCTAGGCAATCTGCGTGGTAAGCAGCGTTATCTGCCTAATGTGTAACCCCCAGTACATTGGCTGTTACTGCAGCAAGGTCTATTGAGATGTAGCTCCTTAAGGTGATTTGAGACCATGTTTTCATTTGTGAATTCCCGGGGTAGTGCAAATGGCTACCTACCAAAGGCTAGAAGTTGGGGTCCACCCAGACCCATCAGGAGAAAGCCAGCCACTGAAAGCCCTGTGGAGCTCGGGTACACTTGGACCCGCACAGGGCTGCTGTGCATCAGAATCAGCTCAGCACCGTTCTTCATCCCTCGTCCGGGGTAGAGGCAGGGCTTGCAATTCTTGCTTCCTGAAGAAATGGACTTAGGTTAGCTCGTTTGCTCAGGATCACACTGAAATTCAGTTAATCCGATACAAACCCAGGCCCAAAGTGGATTTCCTTCTTTTTGAGGACATCCTGCCCGAGGGTGAGTTTCAGTTCATTTTCAGAGAAACTGTCATGGCTAGCTTTGAGAAATGCCTTTGTGGCTGGAACTTGTAGTTGGCAACTTCCTGCCCAGGCTCGACCCTGGCACTATAGTCTGCTTGCGCATTCTCTCTCTCTCCTTCACAGGCGCTTATTCCAGGTTTCATGCTAGTGGGTAAGATACTCTAATTTCTCTGTAACAAACCGGGGCAGGGGGGCGGGATCCTTTCATAAAGTTACCTTTTCATTTAAGAATTTCCTTTGGATGGTGGTCTCCATTCACCTCGGACGTAATTGTAAGCTCCATGCGAATTTCAGCATAGTACTGCCTCCTCGTGTGTGTGTGTGTGTGTGTGTGTGTGTGTGTGTGTGTGTGTGTGTGTGTGAATTTGATAGGTGTGTTTCAGTTGAATACCTGGGTACAATTGAGATACGTGAAACCCCAGGGGTAGATAGATGGGCAAGCTGAGTGGAGAGGCGTCCCTCATCTACACATTCTCTTCTAACATTTTGACTCGTGGTTGGCTTGGCTCTTGTTGTGCTTTGGGTGGAAGGTTACAGAGCAGGTTGCTTTTCATTCAACAGTGTCTGCTGTTCCAGGGCATTGGTGACAGTGCCCTCTGCTACAGCCCTCTTCTCACTGCCTCCCTGCGTCCCCTCTTCCTGCCCCTTTCTGCCTACACCCGTTGGTTTGTGGTCTCACACAGCCGGTGGTTTCTCAGTTCCTCATGGGTGTTACTGTTCACGTTGTGGACCCGCGCAGATAGACTGAAAGGGTTTGGGCCCAGATTTGAAGGGTGCTTAAGGGCTCTCTGTGTACTCTTCAGGCACTTCACCGATCTCTCAGACCAGTAAGTCTGTTTTTGTGATGTACATGTTTCTCCCATTTTGTCAGAGCCTTCTTTTTGGATCCCTTTCAGAGCATCCAGTGGTGGCAGCCAGGCACCATCCAGTTCTGGTCTCAGGATAGTGGAAGCTATAGTTTGGGTAGTAAGTTAGTCCTTTGGGTCTTTGATTTTCTTCACTCTTCCTTGCTTCGGGCAGGTAGAGACCAAGAGTTACACCTTAGATGGCCACCCCAAAACGTTTGAGGCCCCAGGCCGTACTCACCACAGTAGAATAAGGAACATTGTCTCTGTGGATTCTATTAGACCTACTGGAATAGATGTCCCCTAAGCCCAGTGATTCATTTAATTATGGCTCTAAAATTAGGCTCTATATCTATAAAATATAAAGTTATATAAAGATATAAAGTTAGGCTCTATATCTATATCGATCGATCGATTAATTATGGCTCTAAAATTAGGCTCTATATCTATAAAATATAAAGTTATATAAAGATATATAGTTAGGCTCTATATCTATATCGATAGATAGATAGATATAGATAGATAGAGAGATAAGGATCTAAGATATAAGGATATATATAGAGAGAGAGGGAGATAAGGATATAAGATATAAGGCTATATATATATATATATAGAGAGAGAGAGAAGGATATAAGATATAAGGATATATATATATATATAGAGAGAGAGAGAGAAGGATATAAGATATAAGGATATATATATTCGTAGCCAGACCTATATATACTCTATGTGGTCTGTTTGCCTTCCCAGGCCTGTTCAACTTGCACGTCTACCTGGGTATTCACTCGTAGATTATTGTTGGTTATTACACGATTGTGTATGTAATAATGCTTACCTGGGTTGCCTCGAGCTCTGTATGGCTGCCAGCATCTTCCTTCGCCGGGTCATCGTGTGCTGGCATCCATCCCCCTTACTGCTGACTGCCTTTTCCTTAATCCAAGTCAGTACATGTCTACCCTCAACTAGGTGGTTTTCTCTTCTTTCTTCCTCCTGTCCTTGGTAGCCGCTGAAGATTTCTTTCCTGGGGGCAACTATTAGTTGGTTCTAATGCCTTTATTTTCTTCCCTAAAGCCAGACCTTTCTCCTGCTCCTTATAAGCTTGCACTCTGAAGCTTAATCCTTGAGCCACAGCTTTTTTATTTTTTCTTCATTAGATGGGCTTTTTCTTGGTGCCATCTCCAAATGTCTCTAACCCAGACCTCCTTTTCTGAACTGCTGCAGTATCTCTGGGCATCTTTGTAGACTCCGTCCTGACGTTGTTGTTGGCTGACTCGGGTCACAGTGGCTCAAAAGTGTTACGTGGACCTTCATCTGCCATCCCCCTGATTGGCTGCAGAGTGGGCCGTTGTGCAGGTTTTCATTCGCTGACTTTTTGGGTGTTCATTGCCAGACCTTCCTAGCCCAGCTTAGTCTAGTCAGCTCTGCTGAAACCTGTTGAGCATGATAGCAACACGTAAGCCTCCCCTGGTACCACTGGAGGCGCATGCACATGAGACCTACTGGCCAGGAGCTGAGCCCATCCCACGTGGGAGGTGAGGCATCTGCCCTGAATCCCAAAAACCCTGGAAGCCTCATAACGCCCTCCCAAATGAGTGGGAACTTGCCACTGACCCTTCAGCCTTGGAAAATGGAGATCAGAAAAGTCTTACCAAGATCTCGAGCGTTAAGAGGAAAACATAAAATGTCCCACCTGAGAGAGGGTGTTGATTCCATGGTCAATTATCACTGTACAAGAAGGTTTCTAAAAGTTCTTAAGGAAAATTGGATTAAAAAATAATGGAATTTTTCCATGAGCTTTGGAAAGTCCCCTCAGAAGGTCAAAGCAGAGAGGCAAAATAGGGTGGAGCTGAGGGAGAGAGGGTGGAGAGCCTTAAAACGGGATGTTGCCACTTGAATGTCCATTGGACAGATTCTTGGGGGTGTTTCTGTAGCGACTCCTAATCCTGGGTGTGATTGAGGGTGTCGCTGATAACACTTGACTCATTGAAAGTTGCAACCAAGCCAAAGCTGGAGTCTAATGCATGGCCCCATTTCACCAGTGTGTTTCACAGAGAGAAAAAAGCCTTTATTTACATAATCATTTGACCCGTTCTTCAACTTCATCTGGACTTGTCACGGGGCTCACTTAGTCTTATCCTTAAGCCACAAAGGATTGAGAGAAGCACAGGCAAGGTTTTCCATTCCTCTGGGTGGGATGGGGTTGGTGCCAGCCAAGGCCACTGCTTGGCATGGGGAAGGAATGGAAGTAATGGGTTAACTTTGGCAGAGCTGGCCAGCTGCATGTTGTTCTCTCTGGAGCAGTAACTTTGTCAGGGCCACTTCCCACCCACCCACCCCTGGAAGAGGACTGTCCCCTGGAGACTTTCCCCTACCCGTCACTCCCCGGCTCGCCTTCCTTCTGTAAGGAAGATGGGGACTTCCCCTTTCCTGTCTTACTCATGAGTCGAACAATTAACGAGGCGCAGAGACTGACTTACTCTGAAAGTTTCGGATGAGAAAAAGCTGGGTGATGTGGCAATGGAAGTCATATGTTTTCCCCAAAAGTTGGACCTGAGAGGCTTCAGAATGGGGAGTTGGATTAAGCAAGGTGGCAGAGACTGATTGCAGTGTGGGCTGGGCCGCTGGCTTCTTCTTGTAGGGTCAGTGACATGACCAGTGCGCTGGGGGCGGCGGCCAGAGTTGCTCTCCGTTTTGGAAAAAGGCCTGTCAGATGCTCAAGCGGGCCACGTCTGGACATGGACGCAAAGAGCACACCGGTTAGAAAACGGGCCGGAACGAAGAATCACCATCCTTTCTGTCATGTGTGATCGAGGCATTGTGATGGGAGACGACTCACATGCTTTGATGCCTCTGAAAGAGGGTGGCGTAAGGCCGAGGTGTGTCATGAAAGATAACATGAAGCTGGTGGGACAGATTTCTTGGGAAATGGCTGCATCTGGATGGTGGACCTAGGAAGTTCATGATCTGATCTCTGCTTCTGTGGTGGTTGGAAAATTGTGCGTTGCCTTCCTGCATGTTCCACCATGCATGTTCCTCCTTGAGCCCGTGATGGAGCTGGGCTGACACACGGGTGTGGCTGGGGTGAGCCTGCCACAGCCGCCAGATCACAGACACTGAATTCCTGGTGGATAACATGTTGTGACCAGCCCAGAACCAGAAAAACCATGTGCCATCCCAAAGCTGATTTTTAACCACGAGGTTGAGCTCCATACAATGGCTCGCCGGGCCCCGGGTGGTGGCGAGACATCTTTACAAATAAGCAAACCTTTTTTGCTCTACCTTGTAGGACCACCACGAGGCCTCAGACCTTCTATGATGGGAGCCGTTCCTGTGCCCGAGGAGTGTGCCACATTCCAATGGCAGAGCCATTCTGCCCCAAGACCAGAGAGGTTTGTCATCTCTTTGAGAAGTGTGTGCTGATGAACCAGAGGGCAGGTGGGGGGTGGGGGCGGGAGGGGTGTGTGGCATTGGAGCTTAGATGAATGGGCTTAGTCAGTGATTCCTCTTTCCCTCTCAAGGGGAAGGGTTTTTCCCCCATGGGGGTGTGGAGTGGGGCCCTGGGTGGAGCTAACCCAGAGGTGGTCAGTGAATTCACCGAGAGGCACCACAGGAAAAAGATAAGATCAACTTCCCAGGACAAGCCCTGTGGAGCACAGTTCTGCTCAGGTGCATGGGCTCTCTGGGAGCCAGAGCTGACGCCATGCAGCTGGTTGGTGTGGGCCGTTAGGTTTCTCTTAGCTAATAAGGCTGCAGCCATTTCATCATTTTCTGCCTGTCACACTCAATGTTGCCACTTCATTCTTTTCACAACCTCTGATTGTGCTCTCGGGCCCCCTCTTAGCTGACGTAGGACTGGACAGTATATTGACGATCTGGAGGCAGACTACAAAGAATCCAATTCTTTACCTGATGGTTAAAAAAAAGCCTTGTGTCCATGACAAGTTGCTTTGGGCTCCAGTGTCCTCACTTGAAAGGTGAGGATAATGACAGCTTGTACCTCAAGCAACTGGTCTGTGGACGAAAACAAAGAATGCTTATCAAAGCGTCCACTGGATGGGAACTGCTTTTACTGTTTCCTTGGTGTTATTGGTGATCAGATGGCATCTGTGCTCTTTGATCAGAGATTATTTGTGCAGCATACAGGTTGAGTAAACACAGACAGCCCAATGCATACCTTTCCTGATTTTAAGTCATGCAGTGTCCCTGTGTTCTAGTCCAGTGACTGCCCCTCTTGCTCTATATGCAGGTACCATAAGAGCAAAGTAGGTGGTGTAGAGTTCTCGTTCTTCACAGTGTTATCGTAACTTGTTAGGATGCCTTTGCATCATCATACACAGGGAAACATCTTTCTGGTCTTCTCTGTTTTCAGCCAAGATCCATCTCACATCACCAAAGATCTCCCTCGTTCCGTGTCCTCTTTTGAATTCCATTAGAATTTCTGGCAATTCTCTAATGTGTCATTGCAGGCAGTTTTTAATTACCTTCAGCAAAATTTTGCCTATGTGAGATGTTACTAGTACTGTTTTACAGTTTCCACTTTCTGTTGAATCGCCTTTCTTTAGAATGGGTACAAATATGGATCTCTTCCAAATGGCTCACCAAGTAATGTCTTTCAAATTCCTGGGCATAAACAAGTGATCACCCCTGGTGTTGCATCTATTTTTAAAAATAATTCAGTTGATGTAATGTCAATTCCTAGAGCCTTAGTTTTTGCCAATGCCCTCAGTGTAACTTGTTCTTTCTTCAATATCATTGGTTCTTGATCATATGCTACCTCCTGAAGTAATTTACCGTCAACCGTTATTTATTTGTTTAGGTACAGTGACTCTCTATTTCTTTCAACAACTTTGGATGCTTTAGAATCCTTCGATATGGCAACTCTAGACTTGAATTTTCCGCTTGGTCTTTCAGCTTGAGAAATGCCTAGCATTATCTCTTTTGCCATGTTCAGCTGTTTTCACATTTTATTGTAATGCTTTACTTTGGCTTTTCCAGCCACGCTTGGAAATCTTTTACTGAATCATTTCTTCTATTCACTGGAGCATTAAATCATTGGAACACCTGAACAATTAAGTCGGAGATTAATTTGGGGAGGGCGATGAAATCTGTTCGTGTAACATTTACCCCCGGAGAGATTTCCATGTGGAGAAACCGTAACCAAATCTAAGCAGCTTTGTGGGAGATGGACTAGAAGATCATTTGCTTATTAATGTGAAATCTGGGGTCTTGTCCCAGACAGAAGACTGATAGGGAGCCAGGTGTAGAAGGGAAGAGGAAGTGCCAATGATCTGTTCGCACCCATTGCAGGGGGTCCGTTCTGACTGATAGCGACCCTCTAGGACAGAGTAGAATTGCCCCATGTGGTTTCTGAAGCTGTGATCTTTCCAGAGCAGGCTGCTGCTTTGCCCTGCAGAGCCACTGATGGTTCTAAACTGCTGACGCTAACCATTGGTTTCTGAACCACAGTGCCACCAGTGTGGCAAGTGGGTGAGTTTGCAAGAATGTAGCTTGGCCTCCCTCAAGAACAAATTAATTTGGCTAATTGTACCCCAGCCAAGCCAAACACCCGAGAGAAGAACTGAAAAAATAGAGAAGGCAATACAGAAAAATAGGGCAAATAGGTATTTCTAATTCTTATCTGAAAAAAATTGAAAGAGTAGATGTAATTATCACACTCACCTTTCATCCACCAGGTCTTCCGGTGATGATAAGGAAGAATTTATCAAGGTGAAAAAGTGACCAAAAAAGTATACAAGATTTGTATCATGTTTGTGTGTGTATGTTGTGTGCTTGTAAAGAGAGAAATATGTAAATGTTTGTATGTCATACAGGATTTCTGTAAAAGCAGACAACCTGGTAATGCTGGTTTCCTTTGAGGATGTGAGCTGGGTTCCTGAAACATAGTGAATATCCTTTTGTACTGTCTGCAAGTATTCCCAGCTAGTGTTGCGTCTGCTCATTTTTGGGGTGCATTTAGTTTGGAGAGCCAGGCCCTGAGGCTCATTCTTGCTGGATTTCTCAAGACAAAGAAAAGCATGTTAGCCTCGGGCTCTTGGAGCTTTCTGCCCGCCGTTTTTATTCCTGGTGCCTCGTGTTGCCTCATCTGCTCCCAGCTGCCCGGAGTGCTGGTTCTCGTGGCAAGTCTTCCCAGACCTGTGGCTGCCACAGCCACAAACCATCTCCCTCGTCGCCTCCTAGTGACCGTGGGACCTAAGTCCCAGAGTTATGCCAGAGATTTAAGTGGCTCGCACCAGTTCTGCTCGCCCTTTACGTTACCACGTCTCTAGAGTCACACTGAAATTTAGCCAAGACATAGTGTAGGTTTTTCGTGAGAGCAGGATTGGACAGATTATAACTTAATTGGAGTGGGGTGGGCTCTGGGGGCCGGTGAGAATTTAGGCCTTTATGTTTATAATCTACACACTCCTTTAAAGAGAACTTTGGTAGCAAATCTGATTTTCAGCGCTTGAGTACAGTTCGTTAACATAATGTAACATCCATCATTCATGGTATGGTTTTTCATGGTTCCAGCTTGGGAGTTTCTAGGGCTTTTGTTTAAAGTGCCCTGGTTTCCTTAGTATATGAAATAGATTATTTTTAAGAAAATTGGTTTATTTTTTCCTGTGCTTCAGCATGTGTAGGTATGATTTGGGCCTAGATTGGAGCTTTCTATTGACTAAGAGGTGTCTCGTTTTATATAATCTCCCAGGAGACATTGCCAGTTGTTTTGTAAGTATGTGCAGAAGTTTCCATTATTAATAACTGAGAAAACTAGTATGGCTTTTTTTGTACTATTTTCTTTTCTTTTTTTAATCATTTTATTGGGAGCTCATATAACTCATCACAATCTATACATCCAACCATTATGTCAAGCACATTTGTACATTTGTTGCCATCATTTCCAAAACATTTTCATGTCTTAGCACTGATGAATGTCTCCCTTCACCCACTTTTCTGTTGTCCATCCTCCTGGGGGCGTGGTTATAGGTAGATCATTGTGATGGGTTCCCCTTCCTTCCCCCACCTTCCCCTTACCCTCCTGAGATGGCTACTCTCAATTTTGCCCCTGAGGGGTTTATCTGTCCTGGATTCCCTGTGTTGTGAGCTCTTATCTGTATCCGTGTACTTCTCTGGTCTGGTCAGATTTCTAAGGTAGAATTGGGGTCATGATGCGGGGGTGGGGGGGGTGGGGGTGGGGACGACGAACTAGAGAACTAGAGGAATGTTGTATGTTTCAACGGTGCTATACTGCACCCTGATTGGGCTGTCTCCTCCCCACGACCCTTCTGTGAGGGGATGATTTTGTACTATTTCCCATCCAGATCTCAGTTGTCATATATTTTTGTATCGTGGCATTGGTCGGGAGCCCCCGATGTAGTAGCACTCCCCTCCCGCTGCCTCCCTGTGTTGACTGTTCCCCATAGATCTTCCTCCCTGCCCTTTCCCGCCTCTGAGTCTTTTCTGTGGGCCGACGCTGCCCATTCCAGTTTTGCTCTTCTGTAGTGTTTACAGTGAACCTGCCAGTTCTTTGCTGGACATACCTGAGCTCACTTAATCTCTGCATTGTCTCCGTTATGCATTGTTTTCTGTTGTTGTGGGTGAAGCAACTAAGACATACCAAGGTTAGGTAACTTTTCAGCTGTGTGCTATTGAGTTTTGGAGACTTTTAAAAACTGTTATTAAAAGGGGGTTATTAAAACACGGGCTAAGGAGGGAAATGCAATTGATTGCCTGAAAAGGAGAGACTGGTTACTAATTAAAACACTGGACAAAATGATTCTGCTTGTTCAGGGTGTTTCTGAGACCTGTGTATGGCTTTTTCACTAAGTGGAAAGCAAGATAAGTGTTTGCCAGGCTTAAAATATCAGCACAGCCTCATCCTGTCTCATCATCAGTCCTTGGAGAGGCAAGGAGACTATGAAGAAACCACTTTCTAACTAAAAGTTTTTACAAGCCTCCTCAGATGTCATGTAAAAGCGCAATAGGAATGGAACTTCTCGGGAGCTGGAAACGGTTCTCGGAATCTTTGGGTGGGTGTGTATGGTGAGAAACGTCTTAGAGGTAAAGGGTGAAGACTCCGATGGTCTTCCTAAGCCAGCTTGTGTCGTAACTGAGTGAGGAAGTCAGTGAGATGCAAGCACACATTCTGCAGAAGCAGCTGGGCCTTGTCGCGTGTCGCTGTGGCTGTAGCTGCAAGGAAACTGTGAGGTGGGGGCTATGTAAGTGGGTGGGATCTAGGCAAGACCCCCTGTGATCTTCCAGATCCTCTGCAAACATCTGCAATGAACCATTCGGTTCCTTAAACATTAGGGGAGCATGAAGTCCTAAGCGGTTTGCATGTCCATGTACTTTGAGTGTGTGGCCTGCTGTCTTTCAGGTCCTCATGGAAACTGCCAAGAAGCTAGGACTCCGATGTCACTCGAAGGGGACAATGGTCACAATCGAGGGTCCCCGGTTTAGCTCCCGAGCTGAAAGCTTCATGTTCCGTACCTGGGGGGCGGATGTGATCAACATGACCACGGTTCCAGAGGTGGTTCTTGCGAAAGAGGCTGGGATTTGCTATGCCAGTATCGCCATGGCAACCGATTATGATTGCTGGAAGGAACACGAGGAAGCGGTAAGTGGAATTCTCTCCTGAGCGTGCCCTCGTGCAGTGCGTTTCCGAAGAAGAGCATCGCAACTGTTTGTTTCTCTTGCAATCGCTCCAGAAAGTGCTTTTCCTCGAGATTCCTGGACTTGAAGGAAGGTTGAATGGTCAAGGGAAACACAAGGTGCACACCAGTTCTATCATGTTCTACTATTTGTGTTAGCGTGGGGGTATCCAAAGAGATAAATATGTAGTTATTTGCATGCCGATGGAATATTTCGAGATTAACCAAAACAATGGTAGAAGCGGTTCCCTTGGGAAGATGAAATGGGGTATCCTAGTCAGCTCTTTTTTTGTACATTATCATTAGGTAGGACCAGGTTTTTTTTTATATATTTTTTTATGATTTCTCATTTTGGAAAGTGGAAACTCAGATCCTCATAGGAAGGAGAGGGCACTTTGAATCCAAGGATCAGCAGTGAACTGTAGACAATGCGTGTGCTGGAAATCATTTGGAGACGTAGGCTTTAGTTGCAGAATAAAGGTAACTTTTGTTGCTCTTCACACCAAGAGTCACAGCCTATGGTGGTTTTGAAACTACCTACACCCACCTGTCAATTTTAGGTCCTCCATGTATTTGGGCCCAGTGGGACCCTAGTGCAAGTTTCTAGTCTGTTGCCTTTTCTATCAAATGGGGTTGGGGAGGGTGGGGGTGGGGGCGTGGTGCTGGTGGTTTAGTTAGGATTCCAAATCCACTGTCAAGTTGATTTTCATTCATAGCGACCCCTGTCTAGTGTGTCCTAGACTGTAAACCTTGCCAGGGGCAGACAGACTCATCCTCCTATCTTGGAGCTGCTGGTAGGTTTTAACCATCAGTCCTGTGAGTAGCAGCCCAATTTCTAGCCACCAGGGCTCCTGGCAAGTTGGCAGTTGAACAGCAGCTGGCAGCAGGGAGGGTCTCTGGTGCTGTTACGGTGTGGCCGAGTGGGGTGTGCTGGGGAGAAGCCTGTGAAATGTAGGCTGGGCCTTGAACAGAGGATTGGATTATCAGCACAAGAGACAGTGTAAGTTATGCAAATCTCCTAGATGGTTTCTGACCCTGTATTCAGGATAGGTTAGGGTTAGTGTTGGGGTTAGGGCTAGGTTTGGGGGCTCCTTTAACGGAGGTGACTTCCTTACTTCCATCTAGTTTCATGTAAAGTTGGTGCTGTTTTCTTACTGCCTGTCTGTTGTGTGTTGCGCTCACAGGCCGTAGGTGAACTCAGCTGCCTGCTTTCCTGTGAATGCCTCACACACACACACACACACACACACACACACACACACCCGCCTCACGGGGCAGTCACAGTTGTGACTCAGATGCTTCTGTGTCTGCAGATGAGTAAAGACGGCTTTCAGGGGCTTGATGGTGGTACAGGTCCTGTTCTGAGGAAATTTCCCGGCAGTTCCTATATTTACAACTTTAGTAAGAATACCAGGCGCTGCTTTGCATTATTCCAAGTGGAAGTGACAGATGTGTTTTATATTTATGCAGCTCCTGTCACTCGTAAGAAATTTGCACATTCAGATTTTTAAGTCACAGCACACTAACTGATTGTTAGCTTTGGTAAGCCTACAGAGAGCTCAGCCTCCTGGTGCTGAGAAGCTGATTCCAGTTAAGAGGAAACATCAGCTCATGTGCCCCGCTCCCCAATCCGGAGCGGATTGTAGCCTGTACCATTTACCCTCCTGTCTGTTCTCCTGAGGAAGCCCTTTACAGGGTCGCTGGGGATCGGAATAGACTCAGTGGCAGTGGGTTTGCAGAGGGCATGCACGGCGCGCTTTCAAAGCCTGTCGGCCGAAGCTATTAGTTAGGAGCACAGAAACTAACTCTGAGTTAGAGGCAAGGTAAATAAAGCAGCAAACTCCCTGGATGGTTTCTGAGCCTGTACTTAGGACTCACCCTCCGTGGACACTTACCTGGCCATTAGCCAGCTTGTGTCCCTCAGCACCTGGGCTTACTCCCCTGGGTGCACGGCGTCTGGGAGTGCTCTGGACTCTGTCCAAGGAAATGGGAAGAAGCGCTGTCACCATGCTCCTGAGTCCCGGCTTTCTCCCAAGCGTGGAGAAGCTGGGGGGTACTCTGCCACTGATGGCCCGTTGGCCCACTGCCAGAGCTCACGCTGGGTTTTTGGTTTTGTTTTTTCCAACTTTCCCTCGGAAGACAATTTCTGTCATGAACCCAAGTCGAAGCTTCCATGTTTCCAGCATCCAGTGTCAGCCGTTCTGACATCCACTCAGGCCAGTCCTCTGCAGCTGTAGCCCCTCCTCCCGTTTATCCAAAGCTGTCTCAGAAGCTCTCTGACCCAACACAGCGTGATCACACGCAGCAATAAGCCCTTGAGATCTTATTCAGGCAAAAGAGCACGTTTCCAGCTATCACACATGCTATAAATGATCACCTGTATCACAAGGCTGTTTTTTCCCCTTGTAGGTTTTCCTGAAAGAGAGAACATTGTCCTATGACAGTGTTCCCATTCCAGATCACAGAAATCACCCCCTTAGGTAGTTGAACACACTCTCCAACCTCCGTGTTTGCTGTACAGTCATCGTTGGATCTAGCGGGGTCATGAGACTCTGGGGCCATCGATAAATGGTTTTGTTCTCCCACCACAGTAGTGTGTGTGTGTGTGTGTGTGTGTGTGTGTGTGTGTGTGTGTGTGTGTATGTGTGGTGCCAGCCTTTCGGCAAGGCTACATATGCTGATGCATTTGCTTCCATCACTTTAATTAGAATACTTCTCTAAGAACATGCATCGATTGGCTATCCAGTATAGCAGCAACTCTCAAACTGCAACTAGTTTCGCCTATACACCTGAAAGTGCATGTCTTTTTAAGTTCATACTAACCCATTGCACATTTGAGGTCAGTTCTCTGACACAAATCGAAGCTCTTCGCTGTTTTCCACAGATGACAGGTGTAGGCAGGCTACCCTCACTGCAGGGGAAAGGGTGCTGCGTAGTGGGCATTGAGTTTCTGTCAGCAGTGGTAGAATAATTTGGAAAGGATATCAATAGTGGCTGTACAGCACGAAGAGGATAATCAATGGCACTGAATTTTACAAGTAGAAGTTGAGGAATTGGAGAATTCTGTTGTGTATATTTTTGTCATAGGGAAAATAATTGCATGAATAACAATGACTGCAAGGAGGAAGAACATGTTCTAGAATTGAATATGATGTTAATTCCACAACTCTTCTTGATATGATTGAATTACTGAATTGTATGGCGTATGGGTAAAGTGCTAATAAAACTTTTTTAAAAACCCTGCTTAAGCTGCACTTGTGCATAAATGCGGAGCTTGGGCTCAGAGATTTCAAACTAGGAAGCTGGCGTTGTAGATCAGGTTGGGGCTCGGAGGGAAAAGCGGGACTGTGATCCCTGAAAAGGAGTGGAAATAATTGAATTTGCTCTAAATGGGCCATTGTTTGTCTAGGTTTCCGTGGACAGGGTCCTAAAGACCCTGAAAGAAAATGCCAACAAAGCCAAAAGTTTACTCCTCACCGCCATACCACAGCTCGGGTCCATGGAATGGTCGGAAACCCTCCGGAACCTGAAGGTAAGTGTCTTCCGCCGGACGAGACCTCACACATGGCCTCACAGCCTCAGCCGCCCTTGCCTCTGACTTAGAGGTCTCAATTTTTAGAGTAGCACAGTGTACCCCTTACCCTGTCCTCAGCAGTGAGCCGACACCCTCTGCTGAATAGCTTACACCGGCACAGAGCTCTTCTCTCTGGGAGCTGACTGTGTGTCACCCCCTCAGGCTCACTTAGCCCTAAGGTCCCAGCTAGAAGTACTCCTCCTTGGTGAGGCGCATGGTATGTTGCCTGGCATTGATGATTTTGTGGGCCTTACATGGCCCGTGGACTGGACATTTGTTCCCCACCCCTAATTTAAACTGATAAGCAGAGTTTGGCCCCTTCTCCTGGGGTCTCCTAGAATACACCTGTTCTCTCAGAACCCACGGCACAACTGAGAAAGAACTTGGGAACTTGATCCAAGCCCTCCGCGCCTGCATTAGGGCTGAGCCGCCCTGAAAGAGAGTGGCAGTCCCGGCGGCAGTGGTGTGGGAGGGAAGCATGGCCACCAGCTTGGGGTGGGACTGGTGTCAGTGTTCCAGCACGTTGGTTGGTGTAAAAATCCGTTGTGACGGCCCTGGTTGGCTGAGCAGCATTTGCACAATGGCATATGCACAAACATGTCCTAGTGATGAAGTGTGTGTATGTGTCTCTCTCACTACCATTGAGTCCACACCGACCCATAGCAACTCCATAGGACAGGGTAGAGCTACCCTGTGAGTTTCTGAGACTTGACGGGAATAGCAAGCCTTGCATCTTTTCTCCCATGGAGCATGGGGCACCTGGTGGTTTCGAACTGCCAACCTTGAGGGTCGCAGCCCAACACATAACCACTACACCCCCAGGGCTCCCTGCTGTGTCTCTCGGAGTGGTATTTGAATTTGTAGTCTTCCTTCCCCACCAGACTATGCCCAAAGAACAGAACACTTCAGTTGGTTTTAACCCTGTCCCTACAGTTCTGACCAAGAAGATCAATATTGTTGGATGAATAAATAGGGGCCCCCATCCCCCTTACTGTTATTCAGAGAACAACAGGAAATGAGAGTCTATGAATTGGCTGACTAATGCTTTTGCTGCTACTGAGGCTAATGTGTGGCAGGGGAGTTACCGAGGTTCTGTGTGTGTGGTTGTAATCAACCTCTCAAAAGGGATGCAGAGGCTGAACTCAGAGTCCCTGCTCTCTAGAGCAGTGGTTCTCAGCCTTCCTAATGTTGCGACCCCTTAATACAGTTCCTCACGTTGTGGGGACCCCCAACCATAAGATTATTTTCATTGCTACTTCACACTGTAATCTTGCTACTGTTATGAATAAAGACCCACAGATTGAGAACCCCTGCTCAGACAAAACGGAGGATGGGGACCTCCATTCTCTAGCATTCTAATAACCCCTTGTTCTGACTGCTTTTGAATAGCTGTAAGTCATTCATCTGCTCACTGATTTCTTTGAGAACTACTTACCTGCTATATGCCAAGCTGTGGTTTACAAAGATACACAAGGGTTTCGGTGGTGAAGGAAAAGATCCTATTTTGTTTGAGGATTTGATACACAGAAGGATTTGGTGGTGGTGGTGGTTGTTTTAATTTTTTGTTGTTGTTGTTGTTGTTTTAATAGCAGAATAAGATGCAGAGTGAGTGTGTTATTAGCTGCTGGCCAGCCTGCCCTTGGCTCATGGTGACTGCATGCACAATGGGATGAGACCATTGTAACCGATTTGTTGTTATTGTTAATTGCACCACCAGACCTTTCTTCCCAGTCCCTCTTAGTCTGTAAGCTCAGTAGAATCCTGCTTGGCATCGTAGCAGTACACAAGCCTCTACTGACGTACGGGGGGAGGGGCGGGGGGGTGCTGGTAGCTCTGCTTGGGGTTTATTGACCCCCGGAATCAAACCAGCCTGAAGGGTAGATTATAAAAGCACCTACTCCTAGATTTCAGAGGCAAGAAAGAGAATCAGAACAGACGTCCAGACCAGTGTCTTCACTTCACTCTGCAGGAAATGGGGAGGGCGGGCTGTGAGTGGAGTTTTGGGTAGATCTGCCTTCTGATATTACATGGCCATTTTTCTGGGGAGCTTAGGCAGACTGCTTACCCCATTGGTTCTCACTGTTACCAAATCAGAATCTGGTTTTAACAAGTTCCCCAGATGGTGATCTGCTCACTCAAGTAAGAGAGCCACTGGCTGCTGGAAAGTTCTTGATTCTCCTAGTTATTTGTGCCTCCTTTTCTTTCAGAATACAGCCCAGTTCTCCGTTTTATTGCCAAGACATTGAAATGGTGTGCTGCCCAGAAGAAAAGATGACCCTCATTCTAGTCACTCTGGGAATTCCTGCTGAACTTGAAAGAAAATGGAAAAGACAGGCCGTTTCCGTGGCCTTCCTACTTAGAGAACATGTGAGAAGACAGAAAAGAAATTGCACATTTAGAGATTCCTCATACAAGACTTAGGATGCTTCTTAAAACAAGAAAAATAAACGACCTGCAGAAAAAAAGAATCTGACATTTTAGGAAAAGAGACCAAGAGGTGCCAGGCCCCCTCCCCTGTTAGATCAACAACAAAGGAGGGGAGTGGGTTTGAGGGGTAACACCCAGTTTTCCATGTTGCCAAGCATGGAAAGACGCAGGTGGACTCTTGGGCTATTTATTGATGTGGCTGTAAATTGGTACAAATTTCTGGAGAGAGAGCAGTTTGATAAAGCATATCAAGATGCTTTAAAAAAATAGACTCTTTGAGCTGATAATTTGTAAGAATTTATCTTTTCCAAATTGTCAGCGATGCGTAAGAGGAATTTTTTTTTCCAAAGAAGGATGTTCAACAGCGTTAGGTATAATAGTCCAAAAGCTGAGCAAGCTGAATAGTCAACAATTAAAGGTACATGCGGGTTAACTTTAATGAGGTTTCGAAGCAGCAAGGAGAGATCACATTTCCACGTAATATGTAATGTTCGGAAGAAAACATCCTGTTAATAGGAAGTTTCAAAGAAAGGATACGTAAGCATTTACATTACTAACTTTGCTTTAAAAATCTCTGTAACCATCCAGAATGACTAGAAAGAATTATAGACACTCTTTTATCCTGTTTAGAGGAGGGCCATTGGGTAATCTTTGTTTTCTTTCATTTTCTTGTATTTTCACCTTTTTCTACAATAAATGTAAAGCTGATTTAGAAATCAGAATGGACTGGGAAAGATCCCATTCTTTAGAACACAGTGTCTGGTGATGATGGCACATTGAAGGGGGGGTGGTACCAGGAAGCGTTCTCTTTGAGAAAGTGACGTCCTTATTCCATTGTAAACGAGGCTTATTAACGGATACACAGAACGGTACTACACAGAGTGCTCTCGAAGGAAATGACTCCTTTATTCCACAGAACAAAAGATGATTGTTATTGAATGCCTAGAACCATACTTAATTTGCCATGACTTCCCAAGGAAGGCTGGATATTTAATACTCAGTCTAAAAGGTAACTGCTTTAGAAACGATAGACACACATTATAGTGTGTCAAGTTTGTTTTTGTTTTGTTTAATATTTGACTTTTTGTTTCTACTTTGAGTTGGTGGATTAAATTACGTGAGTTGCAGAGTTTGCTTTATTAATGAAAAAAGAGATGCTTCTTTTTCCACTATGTTTGCTAGTATTAATTTTGTGACTGGAAAGCTTTCTATTAAGAGAGATGCCTTCCCCTTTGGGAGTATTATACTTCTCTTCAGTGGTCTATCTTTTTGTCTATTTAAAGAGTCTATCAAAACTGTGTTTGTGTCTAAGAGATTGCCTTGAAGACGAGCTGCTGCTCGTTGTTGATAATAAAATCAGCGTCAACCCTCCCGCCTTCTTAGTGAACTGTCGGGGTTGCATGTCATTATGACCATTGGGCACCTGGTGTGATACTTTCCACTTGGACTGCACATTAAAGCTTCTTGGAGGACCTAACGCATCAGATGCCCAAGTTCTGTCCCTCTGTGGTACAGTGGGTAAGCAGTGGGCTGCTAACTGCAGGGTTGGTGGTTCAAACCCACCAGCTGCTCCATGGGGGACAGATGAAGTTGTCTGGTTCTATCAAGATTACCGCAGTGGAAACCCTGTGGGTCAGTCTGCTTTGGAATCCAGTCATGGATATTTGTAGTATATGTACTATGTGTTTATATAGTATATACACTATAAGTATATATCATATATGTGATGTTCATAGTATATGCACTATTGGAGCATTTTATATCCACGTATATGGAGTTTATAGTATATACCATATGCATGTGGTTTTCAATCAGCATTTTTTTTGCCTTCAGAAAATAGAGTCCTCTCCCTCAGGTTCTGTAATTTATTTGTAAGCCTGGATCGCAGCCCCAATGGGGCAGCAGAGTGGTCACTCCCCCCTTGAAGCACAAGAGCCCATAGCGAATCCCCTCATTTTGTGCATTCACTTTGAAGAACAAGGTTTCTCAAAGGTGCATCCTCCCCCTTCATCGCTTGTCTTCGTTTTTAAGTTAGAGAGTAGTCCCCTGGCCTTGGAACCTCCTTCAGCCTTCCTTACGCAGTGTGATGCGTTCTCACCCAATGCGATGCGTTCCTTACCCAGTGTGATGTTTTTCACGTGCATATGATGTCCAGGAAACCAACCAACAAACAAAATGTCAACGCTTTTAATTTTTAAAAAAGCAAGCAGAAAATAAAGTCCTCTCAACTTGCCGGTCCCCTGCTCTGTGAAAATGGAGTGAGCCAAAATAAAGTGAGGAAGCAATTAGCATTAATTTATAGAGGAAAATGTTTTTGCATTCCCAGACCCAAGAATAACCTCCCGAGTGATACTGAAGCGCTAGGGTAATAACAGTCAAAGCAGGGCTAGTCCAAAGGAGCAGTAATCTGAGGGCAGTGTGGGTCCCTGGAAGGAGCTTGGCAGTACCAACATCGCAGCTCAGGGTGCATGCTGCCTCTTCTGTGGCTTGCTCACTGGAAAACAGCGAATGTTTCCACTTGAAAATGAAAATCTTCTGGTTCCCTTCAGTTAGTGAAGACAGGGATTAATAGAGGTCTTTCCTAAAAGCAGGTGGCATAAACTGGATTTTTGAAAAGCGGGTTATTTAGACTTTATTTCATTTGGAATATTCTGTACAAAGCTAGAGCCCCTAAGTATTCCAAACCAAAATGTATTGTTCCCTTTTTTCATAGGGGTATATTTTAATAGCCAGGTAAAATGAAAAAGCTCATTGGCTTGTCAAACTGATATTAAGATCTATTTTTGCACGTTTTAGAGCAAACATTTACAAATATTTTCTTGCTTTTTATACTAGATTGGAGGACAAAAAGAAGTGTGGTATAGCTAGTATCATGTAGATCAGAGCTTCTCAGTCTTTCACATATTTTATTACCAGAACCCTAACCTTGAAGAACCTCATGGGCAATAGGGGACCTGGCTCGTTGGATGTGAGCCTGGTGTGCAGCCTGCCCTCTGTAGTTGTTCAAATCTTAATAAGGATCCTGGTGGTGTTGCACTGCAGAAACGGAAAGTCCATGTTCTCCAAGAGGGAAATGAATACATTTACAAATAGGATGAGGATTGTGGTGAGGGCCCTCTTCCTATATCCGTATACATGCATCTTGTTACCTTAGCCTTGGACGTTACTCAAGGGGTAGGACAGTTGAAAAGTCGGATGAGGGGAATTAAGTGTCCTGTGTATAGGATCTCCATTGACAAAAAAAAAAAAATCACAAATTCTGTTGCCAATAGTTACTCATTGCTCAGGTTTTGTTCACCGTGTCATGTACTTTTTTTTTTTTTTTAATTAGGGTTAGGGTTAGCCTTGGTGTTAGGTTAAGGTGTACAGTTAGGGTTTGTGTGAGGCGTAGGGTTAGGTTTAGGGGTTGGGTGCGGGTTGGTGGTAGACTAATTGTTAGGGATAATTTTAGGGGTAGGGTTAGAGTTGGTGTTAAATTCAGGGTTAGGGTTGGTGGTTTTTTGTTCGTTTTTAAAATCATTTTATTAGGGGCTCATACAACTCATCACCATACATACATACATCAATGTGTCAAGCACATTTGTACATTCGTTGCCTTCATCCTCAAAATATTTGCTCTCCACTTAAACCCTTGGTATCAGCTCCTCATTTGTCATTCTTACACTGTCCAACGTCTCCTTGCCTTCACCCACTTTTCTGTTGTCTGTCCCCCCAGGGAGGAGGTTATATGTAGATCCTTGTAATTGGTTCCCCCTCTCTACCGTCCCCTCCCTCAACCTCCCCCCACCCACCAGTATCGCCAGTCTCACCACTGGTCCTGAAGGGATCATCTGTCCTGGATTCCCTGTGTTTCCGGTTCTTAGTTGTACCAGTGTACCTCCTCTGGTCTAGCCGGATTTGTAATGTAGAATTGGGATCATGATAGTGGGGGGGCAGGGGTGGGGAGGAAGCATTTAGGAACTAGAGGAAAGTTGTATGTTTCATCATTGCTCCATTGCACCCTGACTGGCTGGTCTCCCCCTGAAACCCTTCTGTAAGGGGATGTCCAGTTGCCTACAGATGGGCTTTGAGTTCCCACTCCGCACTCCCCCTCATTCATAACGATAGGATTTTTTGTTCTTTGATACCTGATCCCTTTGACACCTCGAGGTCACACAGGCCGATGTACTTCTTCCATGTGGGCTTTGTTGCTTTTGAGCTGGATCGTGTCACGTACTTTGGTTTCCCCAAGAAGATTCAAATTTCCTGCAAATGAGAGACTAACTTAGAGCCCACTCCTTATATTTAATTGTTGAGTATTCAATAAAAGTTTTTCTTGAATCAATATTTTGAACTGGTGAGCCATGGAAATCAAATGACCAGTTACACCTGTGTGATTAGGTGTCAGAAATTACTTTTGAAAAGCACAAACTTTAAGACGATTGTTTCATAATTCTTGTGGTGAGCAGCCAAGTGCGTAGCCCTTCACACGACCAGGGCCCCTCGATTTCGTAACCCTGAAGGGACATGTGCCTGATTTCAAAAGTCAGTGCAAAGCGCTCTTCCTTTTTTTCGGGGTAAAAACATGGCGATTTCACTTGAGGAGGATAAATAGGCATCATCAGATTTTCAAACCGTGCCCTCAGTTTTGAGGTTCTACCTATTGGAATGGGATGGTGTGCTTGTTCCGTTTTTGCCCCGCTTCAGTTAAGTTTACAAATTCTGTCTGTAAGAAGCAAAATGTTATGGCTAAGCGACAGACCAGTTGTGGTTGAACTGGAGATTTTAACTCACCGCTTTATATAATCTGTATGACTGGACAAAAAGATGAAGGAACTAGAAACTTGAGCAACTGTATGTGCTCGCTCACAAAACGAAACTAGAAATGAGTAACAATGAAATGCGTGAGATTAACAAAGTAGGTGGAAGTCAACACTTGAAATAACAAATGGGTCAAAACATAAAATTTAGAAAATTTTAAATGAATGAAAATGAAGGCACAATATGATAGTTTTCTCAGTGGTTTGGCACCTAAGGGCTCACAACTCCCATGTGACTGAACACAATGTGATCAGTTCATGACAGACCTGCTGTGAGCAGCCAATCACAAGATTAGGGAATGCAACCCCTTGCTCAGGTGATAGCCTTGATGTAATTGGAGGAAAGTTTCCACAGAATTGTGGCCTGTGCAACGGACTGATGGTTCCTGGGAGGCAGTGGGGCGGGCCCTGGGAGAGGAGGCTGGAGTAAAGGAGCGGTGAGCCAATAATAAATGACAGGGACGGGAATAGCGAGGGATCTAAAATTGACAGGAGGGTGCAGCATTCCTGGTCGTGCTTGATCAATTGAAATATATCTGAGCGGAATTACTGAGAGCTGTACAATGGGTAAATATGAGAATGGGGCAGGAAGAAAGGAAAGATTATATAAATAGATATACAGATATGTGTATATATATAAAGATATGTGTATTTGTCTATATGTATGTAAATACAAAGAAGCAGATGGACTTTGGGCCTCTGCTTAAACCTTACCTCAGTTCAAGAATGGTGTGTTCTAATGTGGCAATGTATGATACCTTCTCTACACAATCGCTGAAGACAAAATGGTGCATAAAGCAAATGTGAAGAAAGCTAATGGTGCTGGGCTATTAAAAGATATAGTATCTGGGGTCTTAGGCTTGAAGTTAAACCAGCCATTCTGGGATCTTAAAGTCTTGAAGTTAAACAAGCAGCCATCAGCAGGGAAGCAACAAAGCCCACATGGAAGAAGTACACCAGCCTGTGTTCCTGAGGTGTCAATGGGAATAGGTCAGGGGTGCTCAATACGTCGATCACGATCTACTAGTCGATTGCAAATGTAGTGTGGGTAGATCGCATGGCATTAAAAAGATAGACGTAAGCCTGTCATCAATCCTGTCACTTAATTGATATACAACGCAACCAATCAGATGCAATCTTCGGTGTCAAACGCATGCGCAAACAACTGCGCTCAGTGCAGCAAAACTGACAATTTATCGCCAATTTTTAGACCTTGGTGTTTTCTCTTAAACGTAAGCAAGGGTATTAAAGTGAGTAGGGGGGGGGGTTGGACCAAGTAAGAAGACAAAAACGTATCACTGTCGTACCGAATGGGAGATTTTGACACTACAAGCCAACATTCAGCTGAAGTTCAGAGCGCATGAACAGCTCTGGAACTTACTCGCAGAGGGAAAGTACCCAAACATGAGAAAATGTGTTACCTCCTTGACTGCACTATTCGGCTCTACTTATTTATGTGAGTCAGCCTTTTCCTACATGAAGTCCAAGTACCGTTCCCCCATGGCTGATGGTCATTTGGAATGTGCTTGAGGCGGGCTGTCAGCACCACTGTCCAGACTATGCATCCCTGGC